CCTACCACCCCCCCACCACCTACTCACCCCCCACCACCTACTCACCCCCCCACCACCTTCTCACCCCCCTACCACCACCTACTCACCCCCCCACCACCTACTCCCCCCCACCCCCTACTCACCCCCCCCACCACCTACTCACCCCCCCACCTACGCACCCCCCCACCACCTCCTCACCCCCCCACCTCCTACTCACCCCCCCACCTACTACCCCCCCACCAACTACTCACCCCCCACCTCACCCACCTCTACTCACCCCCCCACCACCTACTCAACCCCCCCACCCCTCACTCACCCCCCACCATCCTACTCACCCCCCCCCACTCCTACTCACCCCCCACCACCACCTACTCACCCCCCACCACCTACTCACCCCCCCACCACCTACTCACCCCCCCACCACCGACTCACCCCCCCCCCACCACCTACTCACCCCCCCCCACCACCTACTCACCCCCCCACCACCTACTCACCCCCCACCACCTCTACTCACCCCCCCACCTCACCCCCACCACCTACTCACCCCCCCACCACCTACTCACCCCCCACCACCTACTCACCCCCCCACCACCTACTCACCCCCCCACCACCTACTCACCCCCCCACCACCTACTCACCCCCCACCACCTACTCACCCCCCCACCACCTACTCACCCCCCCCCACCCCTACTCACCCCCCCACCACCTACTCACCCCCCCACCATCCTACTCACCCCCCCACCACCTACTCACCCCCCCCCACCTACTCACCCCCCCACCACCTACTCACCCCCCCCACCACCTACTCACCCCCCCACCACCTACTCACCCTCCCCCACCACCTACTCACACCCCCCACCACCTACTCACCCCCCACCACCTACTCACCCCCCCACCTCACCTCCCCACCACCTACTCCCCCCCACCACCTACTCACCCCCCACCACCTTCTCACCCCCCCACCACCTACTCACCCCCCCCCCACCTACTCACCCCCCCACCACCTACTCACCCCCCCACCCCTACTCACCCCCCCCCCACCTACTCACCACCCCCCACTACCTACTCACCCCCCCCCACCTGACTCACCCCCCCACCACCTACTCACCCCCCCATCACGACCTACTCACCCCCCCACCTACCTACTCACCCCCCCACCACCTACTCACCCCCCCACCACCTACTCACCCCCCCCACCACCTACTCACCCCCCACCTCCTACTCACCCCCCCAACCTCCTACTCACCCCCCCCCCACCTACTCACCCCCACCACCTCCTACTCACCCCCCACCACCTTACTCACCCCCCCACCACCTACTCACCCCCCCCACCACCTACTCACACCCCCCACCACCTACTCACCCCCCCCACCTACCTACTCACCCCCCCACCACCTACTCACCCCCCCACCACCTACTCACCCCCCCCACCTCCTCTCACCCCCCCACCACCTACTCACCCCCCCACCTCCTACTCACCCCCCCACCTCCTACTCACCCCCCCACCACCTACTCACCCCCCCACCACCTACTCACCCCCCCACCACCTACTCACCCCCCCACCTCCTACTCACCCCCCCACCTCCTACTCACCCCCCCACCTCCTACTCACCCCCCACCACCAACTCACCCCCCACCACCTACTCACCCCCCCACCACCTACTCACCCCCCACCACCTACTCACCCCCCACCACCTACTCACCCCCCCACCACCTACTCACCCCCCCCCCCCCTACTCACCCCCCCCCCACCACCTACTCACCCCCCCCCCACCACTTACTCACCCTCCCCCCACCACCTACTACTCACCCCCCCACCACCTACTCACCCCCCCACCACCTACTCACCCTCCCCCCACCACCTTCTCATCCCCCCACCACCTACTCACCCTCCCCCCACCACCTACTCACCCTCCCCCCACCTCCTACTCACCCTCCCCCCACCTCCTACTCACCCTCCCCCCACCACCTACTCACCCCCCCACCACCTACTCACCCCCCCACCACCTACTCACCCCCCACCACCTACTCACCCTCCCCCCACCCCTTCTCATCCCCCCACCACCTACTCACCCCCCCACCACCTACTCACCCTCCCCCCACCACCTACTCACCCCTCCCCCCACCTCCTACTCACCCTCCCCCCACCACCTACTCACCCCCCCCCACCACCTACTCACCCCCCCCACCACCTACTCACCCCCCCCACCACCTACTCACCCCCCCACCACCTACTCACCCTCCCCCACCACCACCTTCTCATCCCCCCACCACCTACTCACCCCCCCACCACCTACTCACCCTCCCCCCACCACCTACTCACCCTCCCCCCACCACCTACTCACCCCCCCCACCACCTACTCACCCTCCCCCCACCTCCTACTCACCCTCCCCCCACCACCTACTCACCCCCCCCCACTACCTACTCACCCCCCCACCCACCTACTATCACCCCCCCCACCACCTACTCACCCCACCTACTCACCCCCCCCCACCTTCTCATCCCCCCCTACCACCTACTCACCCCCCCACCACCCTACTCAACCCCCCCCCACCACCTACTCACCCCCCCACCTCCTACTCACCTCCCCCCCCCCCACCAACCTACTCACCCCCCCACCACCTACTCACCCCCCCACACCTACTCACCCCCCCCACCACCTACTCACCCCCCCACCTCCTACTCACCCCCCCCACCTCTACTCACCCACCACCCTCCACTCACCCCCCCACACCTACTCACCCCCCCACCACCTACTCACCCCCCCCCCCACCTACTCACCCCCCCCCCAACCACCTACTCCAGCCCCCCCCCACCACCTACTCACCCCCCCCCCACCACCTACTCACCCCCCCCCCACCACCTACTCACCCCCCCCCACCACTTACTCACCCTCCCCCCACCACCTACTCACCCCCCACCACCTACTTCACCCCCCCCCACCTACTCACCCTCCCCCCACCACCTTCTCATCCCCCCACCACCTACTCACCCCCCCCACCACCTACTCACCCTCCCCCCACCTCCTACTCACCCTCCCCCCACCACCTACTCACCCCCCCCCACCACCTACTCACCCCCCCCACCACCTACTCACCCCCCCCACCACCTACTCACCCCCCCCACCACCTACTCACCCTCCCCCACCACCTTCTCATCCCCCCACCACCTACTCACCCCCCCACCACCTACTCACCCTCCCCCCACCACCTACTCACCCTCCCCCCACCTCCTACTCACCCTCCCCCACCACCTACTCACCCCCCCCACCAACCTACTCACCTCCCCCCACCTCCTACTCACCCCCCCACCACCTACTCACCTCCCCCACCATCCTACTCACCCTCCCCCCACCACCTACTCACCCCCCCCCACCACCTACTCACCCCCCCACCACCTACTCACCCCCCCACCACCTACTCACCCTCCCCCCACCACCTACTCATCCCCCCCACCACCTACTCACCCCCCCACCACCTACTCACCCTCCCCCCCACCACCTACTCACCCTCCCCCCACCACCTACTCACCCCCCCCCCACCACCTACTCACCCTCCCCCCACCTCCTACTCACCCTCCCCCCACCACCTACTCACCCCCCCCACCACCTACTCACCCCCCCCACCTCCTACTCACCCTCCCCCCACCACCTACTCACCCCCCCCACCACCTACTCACCCCCCCACCACCTACTCACCCCCCCACCACCTACTCACCCTCCCCCCACCACCTTCTCATCCCCCCACCACCTACTCACCCCCCCACCACCTACTCACCCTCCCCCCACCACCTACTCACCCTCCCCCCACCTCCTACTCACCCTCCCCCCACCACCTACTCACCCCCCCCACCACCTACTCACCCCCCCCCACCACCTACTCACCCCCCCCACCACCTACTCACCCCCCCACCACCTACTCACCCTCCCCCCACCACCTTCTCATCCCCCCACCACCTACTCACCCCCCCACCACCTACTCACCCTCCCCCCACCACCTACTCACCCTCCCCCCACCACCTACTCACCCCCCCCCCACCACCTACTCACCCTCCCCCCACCTCCTACTCACCCTCCCCCCACCACCTACTCACCCCCCCCCCACCACCTACTCACCCCCCCCACCACCTACTCACCCCCCCCCACCACCTACTCACCCCCCCACCACCTACTCACCCTCCCCCCACCACCTTCTCATCCCCCCACCACCTACTCACCCCCCCACCACCTACTCACCCTCCCCCCACCACCTACTCACCCTCCCCCCACCTCCTACTCACCCTCCCCCCACCACCTACTCACCCCCCCCCACCACCTACTCACCCTCCCCCCACCTCCTACTCACCCCCCCCACCACCTACTCACCCTCCCCCCACCTCCTACTCACCCTCCCCCCACCACCTACTCACCCCCCCCCCACCACCTACTCACCCCCCCCCACCACCTACTCACCCCCCCCCACCACCTACTCACCCTCCCCCCACCACCTACTCACCCCCCCCCCACCACCTACTCACCCCCCCCCCACCACCTACTCACCCTCCCCCCCCCTCCTACTCACCCTCCCCCCACCACCTACTCACCCTCCCCCCACCACCTACTCACCCCCCCCCACCACCTACTCACCCTCCCCCCACCTCCTACTCACCCTCCCCCCACCACCTACTCACCCCCCCCCCACCACCTACTCACCCCCCCCACCACCTACTCACCCCCCCCCACCACCTACTCACCCCCCCACCACCTACTCACCCTCCCCCCACCACCTTCTCATCCCCCCACCACCTACTCACCCCCCCACCACCTACTCACCCTCCCCCCACCACCTACTCACCCTCCCCCCACCTCCTACTCACCCTCCCCCCACCACCTACTCACCCCCCCCCACCACCTACTCACCCTCCCCCCACCTCCTACTCACCCCCCCCACCACCTACTCACCCCCCCACCACCTACTCACCCCCCCACTACCGCCTCACCCCACCCCCTCCCCCGTGTGGGCGGGGCTTGTGGGTGACGCAG